ATCATCAGCTCTATGCAACCTCAGCATTGACGATACATCAATAAGACGTATAAAGGGGCAGACAGATAAACCGATAAGCCCTAATAAGTAGGGGAAGATTCCCGTTCAGTTCGACGCAGGCAAAGCAACCAAGGCATCATCTTCTCTAGCAAAGATGCATAGCACTTGCTTGCAGATGTCGGCAGATGCACAGTATTACGTGGTTAGCTGCAGCCCTGAGACGTTCCAAGTAGGAAAGCTCCTGCAAGACCATGGTCTTTGAATGCATAACGTCTGCCACATTCATGGCAATGAGACAACGACTAAGTTGCGACAAGGTAAACCGCCATCTAAGGACTTGGGAGCAACTTTTTTCGAGTCGGGTTTGCGCCGGCTTGTGCGCTATGTCAGTGACATGATACAGACAGTGTCAGTACAGTAGCACCACAAGGTGCTTGTCGAAGTGAATTCAGAGCTGGAACGCCTTCTTCATCAGGTGGGAGTTCATTTGCGTTCGTCGTTTCTATGACCTCTCTCTGTCTGCGTTCTACAACTTCGCCGCATTCACATCACCAGGGGGGCTGCAAAGGATTTGGCCTTTGGCAGACCTCGACCCCTAAAGTCCCAGACGCTCAAATTTTTTTTTGGCTAACCCCTTGCCTGATGATATTTTCGGCTTTGCAAGGAGTTCGAGTAGTCATTTCTCGGCATGCGAAAACGACCCGAACTGTCAAGTCTTTCGGGTGCTTCTCGCCCATCGTTTCGGCCTTTGCATGATTTGAAACACGAGGGGCGGTACATTATGAGGCGGACACCCATGCAGACAATGTGCGGCTCATGTGACATGTCAGACTGTGCCGTGTCCTCCACCCCTAAGTCTGGAAGCTCACCAAATGTCTCGAGCGAAGCCAAGAACTCATCCAGCAGCTCTGACATGAAGTTTCTTTCTTGCTTAGCCTGTGGCCTTGGATCACAGCTCGCCCACCCGAACACTTGTCCACAGGACTCCAAGTTCCTCACGTCTTGGGATCAGCCTCAGACGACAAACATCCACTGCGAACTACGTAACAGTGTCCAACTGTCGATGCTGGAGTCTACATGGCAGTCAGGCCGCATACTTCTTCTGAACCTTCTTCCAAAATGCGGGAAGCTTCTTGTTCAAGGACAAAAGCTTCCTCAGCAAAGCAAAGTGACCGTACTTTTGGAAGTGACGGCATGCGCGGCTTTTGCTTGCTTCTTGTTTCACATAGCATGAAGCGTGGCAATGGAGAAGATCAAAAGCAGCCCGGTGTCTCGCGGTGCAGGTCGTTCAAGTGAAACCAGGACTGCAAGCCTGTCAGCCTTCACAGCAGAGGTTTGGGCATCAAGTGTTGAAACTTGCCATTGCCAACAGTGTCGCCTCAGGCAACACTCGCGCACAAAGTCTTGCTCCAAGCTCTGGAAGCAGTTGATCAAGAACTGAAGCACATGAGACCTGGCTTGGTACTCGAGAATGCAAGGCTGCCAAAGGTTAGCAACCAATCCAATGTCGTTCAGCCCAGGGGTCCGGCTTTTCTCGAAGCGTCAACTTCCCAGATTTCCACAGCTCCAGCATGCTCTCAAAGTAGCTCGAAAACCTCACCAGCCGCATCACTCGACTGCTGCACTGCGAGCCACATTAGGCGGTTTGCAACAGCAGTCCATGCACAAAAAAAACTACCAATGCTGCAGCCCAGCCACTTCTCTTTGCGAGCTGCCACCGAATCCCACGCAGAAACGCTTCCATCACGCACCTGCTCGTCGTGAAAACGCTGAACCGCTTCATGCGATTTCATTGTCGTGCTTGTGATCCACCCCGATCTACGTGCGCCGATATCTGCCTTCTCATTGATGAGGAGGGCGATGGTTATCAAATGCGCAAGGCTTGAAGCCTTGTCAGCATCAAACCCTGGCCAGAGCTTCCGTTCGAGGAAGGAGTTGAACTCCAGTGTGGTCACCTCTTGACACCAGTTTTGGAGAAAAAATCTTAAAATACCTCGAAACATCGTTTATCGAAATCACTCAAGACAGTGGGACATGGTCAAAGTGCGGCCTGTTTCGAATCAAATCCGCTCTCTTTCAGTTTGGCGTAGATCTCCTCAACCACCTTGATGCCAGTGCCAAGACCATGGAAGCATCATGTCATCATATCTTCTGGAAGTGTCTTGTGCAGTAGCACACGAATGAGCTGTCCGCAGGTTCAGGCGCATCTGCTGGCTTAGCCTGGCTGCATCTGCGTGCGAAGTGAAAGAACGCAGGAAGCCAACGCGTTTCTGTTATGCTCGCAGTTATCCTCGCCAGCAGATCAAGGGTACAACCCTGGCCTGTGAGGCAATCGAAGCATTCATTGCATCTATCATCGTTACGTATGAAATTTGCCCAACAGCTTTAAAAGCTTTGCTTGCTTCGAGTGCAGACTGGCTGGTGTGGCCGAACGATGCAGGTCGTACATGTGACGCTGCATCATGAAGCTGATACAATGCAACAGCAGGATACCAGTACTAATACATTAGGTTGCATACGATGATCTTGCTTGTAGCAAGGCGATGTCGTTGCCATGCTTTCCTGACCTTGCTACACTTCATAGCTTGAAGCGGGCGAACGAGGTCCAGAGCAAATCTGACAACATCTTGCATGTACAATGCTATATCAAGCGGTCAACTTGCTAGTCAACCAGCTGCAGCACCGACATGTGCCCGCTGTTGTGTGACATCTTTACTTCTGGCTCGCCCGCTCTCTGCTCTCTCACATGTCCGGACCGCGTCGATACGCACCGGCCTTGCATTCGTCATGAGCTGGCCGCCGCACCGATTCTGTGAGCTATTAGGGTGCGAACTCCAAGCCCACTCGTCACTTCACCGCTAGTCTTTGCCCTCCTGGTACCTGGCACATGACGCACAAACGCAGCACACAAGGCAAAGTCAATACACATGAGCAACAAACATCAACAAACGCACAAACGAAAAAACTACAGGATCTTGTAGCAAAATCGCAAGTTTGTGCTTTGGTAAGCATCGCATGAACGAGGATGGGCGAACGACGGCCAAGAAAGAGACCGTCGAAGGAAAGAGAGGGACAGAACGAGAGCGACACAAAGATAGAGACAAAAACGGTGCGCTGTAGATTCACTGGTGCCCATCATGCTTGTTTGCAAACATCGCCGGGCACAAATCTGGCGTAAGATTTGACTGCAACTAGAATTCTTGCTGGCGCGAAATACTTTCCACAACCACAGGTGAAGTTAAATTAGTAACAAGAGCTCGCGAGGAACTGTACATGCAAAGCGTAAGGCACAGAAGGCAAAGAAGGCACAGATAGCCAACCTAAACTGTCCTTTTTGTTAAGCATGGTTCAAAAAGACGTCACGACATGTCCCACTCCGTGGACTCTTTCGTGATGGTTTTTTAGCCATGGATTCCATGGACCGACTCGCTTCTTCCTTCCTTGACGGATACTGACAGCAGCCCATTGTCGAACATGCGCATGCACACTTTCTGTCTGCAAGCAAGCTGCTTCGCCATCAAGGCTGCTCGTCGCCGGCGGCTTTCCTACAACGAACCGAGAAAGAGACACACTCAGCAGAAAATTTCTTTGGAAGCAGTATCGCCTCTAAACGTTTGGCGACAGTCTCGTCATCATCATCGTCCTGAGCAGATCAACACAAACATGCTCTAAGACATCGCCTCGGCCTCGGCTCCCACCATTTCAATATACTTCAATGCTCATGTCATGGCATACAGCAGACCATACAACAGACCATTTCAGCCCGGCGCTTGTTGCAAGACTCGCCTCTTCTTCTTCGCATCGCTGTCCACCTTTGCTGACTGAACGGGTTATGATGCAAAGAAGCCTCACATGCATCGAGCTAGCCAGCAATCACCATGAGTTCGCGTGTCAAACAAAACATGCCAGAGCAGCTGCTTCACCCCCGCCTGGAGTCGGCAATGAGTCAATGAGTTCTGCATCACTGCATTCGTGGAACACCACAGTGCCCAAGCACTCCGTTACTGCACAGATGGGTGCACGGCCTGCATCTGCTTGAGCCGCTGCGGCCTCTGGTGTGTATATAGGAGTCCAAAACTGTGGACTGCAAAGAAGTACCATATATTCCACGTAAACCCTGCTCTCGAATTTTGCGTTTTATGTCTCCCCTTCTCTCTGGCGCCTCGTCCTTCGGAGCCTCTTTCGGAGGTTTCTCCGTGCTCTCCTTCTCCTCTTTCTTTTGTGGACTTCTGCGAGAATGGCTTTTCGGACTTCTGCGAGGGCTCCGGCCTCTACAAGACGATGGTAAACAACGCGCAAGAGAATTCAAACAAACATCTCTCAGGCAAGAACTCTTGCGACGAGTCTCTGTCCTGCAGGCGCTGCTGGACGGCGCCACGGAAAGAGAGATGCCACGTGACAGCTCAAATGAAGAACAGCTGCAAGATAAGTAAGGGAAGCAACAAAAAGTTGACGAACCACCAGGTGACCGCTGCATCAGAAAGCTGCAACTAGCAGAGAGTTCGATGCGAAAACCACATAAAACTTGAGTCATCCTTGAGTTCAATGCATTTTCCGTAAAATAAGTTACAGCTGCAGCTACAGCTGAATAGACTCAAGCAATGACTTAATCTCTTAGATTCGCTGCAGTATTGAGTTGTTCTGCACTTGGGATTGAAAAAGAAAAACAAATGATGGCTTGAACATCTGCCACTTGCTTGGTTTCCTCGGTTTGCCTAAATGAATCCTTTACTTCAACTGGGATCTTTTACATGTCCTTGGCTTCCTCAGGGCATGGGGTTCGACGAATCACTATTTTGTACGTGTTATGAGGAAGAGCTACAAAAATGGAGCTTCTGGGTAGATGTTGGATTAACAGGAATTCGCAATCATGCTAGCTTATCGCAGTCTTATCACAGTGTCGTTGAAGATATGACAGAAATGACATCGTAGCAAAAGGCGATACCATGCCTCATTGCATCATGACACTGCATGCTGGCATGAAAACTGCTAATCGTCGATACTTCCATGATACTGCAGAAGTGTGATGAGTACGTGTAGTGTGGGAAGATGAGCTGCCACTGACACTGCGTCCTTCGGGAATCTTTCTTCGGAGGCTCGGGCGGGTCGGCCTGCCACTACAACTCACAGTAACTCCTAGCAGACGGCTTTGCGCAGCTCTGCTTGCTAGTAGAGCGAGTTGGCCACAACCTGTTACCACTACAGTCATGGGGATTAACTATGAGCACCTCGGCACGCGGCGCATCATCAGTGCCTCAATGGTATTTGAAATGAACTGCATTGCAATCGCAGTCTCACTGCGAACAGAAAACACTAGACTGTCATTGAGATCCAGACTCAGGAACGCTTGAGATTGGCCTGAAGTTCCGTTCTCCTCGCCAACTTCATCCACATTCCCACCACCCACCGAGCCAGCAAGAACAACAGGAGCTGTGGACAAGCTGGCGGGAAATCGTGACAATTGGATGCAGAATCACGCAACCCTCGACCTCCTCAGCTGGTTTTCTGTGCAAGTTCTCTGAAGTCAAAGCGTACCTGCCCGTGACTAGTCCGTGACAAGAATGTCACCGAAGAAATCACAAAGGAAATGAAAGTAAATATGGTAACGTAGCAATAATAAAGGTGGCGGCAATTGTAACATGAGCAATAAGAGAAGTAGGAGCAATCACAGTAGTACTGATGATAACAGCAATACTACAAAATAGCAACTCAAGGAAATATCGACATATGTATATATATATACATATATTTATTTATTTATTTATTATCTATTTATTTATTTATATTAATAATAATACTAATGTTAATATTAATATTAATATTAATATTCATATTCATATTAATATTAATATTAATATTAATATTAATATTAATATTAATATTAATATTAATATTAATATTAATATTAATATTAATATTAATATCCGCATTAATATTAATATTAATATTAATGTTAATATTAATATTAATATTAATATTAATATTAATATCCGCCGAGGCCTCGGGCCGAAGGTGTATAGGTTGTGAACCTTGTTGGCCCCTTTTTTTGCCTCAAATGGCTACCCTGCCTTGGCAACCGGGATGTGCAAGCGACGGTTCGCCAGGACCAGAAACAGTTGAAGCCCGTGCCAACAGCCCCCCCCCCCCCCCCCCCCCCCCCCCCCCCCACCCCCCCCCCCCGCCCTCAAACCCCTAAACCCTAAACCCTGAACCCTGAAGCCTAAACCTTTTGCCCTAAGCTCTCAACCCTCAACCCTCAACCTTCAACTCCCTAATCCCTAGACCCTGAACCCTAAACCCAGCCCTGCCTAAGCCCGGAACCCCAAACCCAAAACCCAACCTTATTGCTTGGGGTCCAGCGACTTGGGCACTGCGGAATCACCATGCTCACGCGGATGCGCTGGGCCGGGCCGAGGCGGGTCGCGTAGCGTTAAAATTGATATGAATATAAATATTAATATCTATATTTATATTTATACTGATAGCGATATTGCTATTTAAATTTATTTTATCTTTTTTATATTTGTGTTTATATTTACATATACACACTGCGCATTCATGTTCTTTTAGTCCATACAATTCCATAATATACATCTGCATATCCAGGTAAAACGCACTCATGTTGAACACATGCCTTGTATGGGTCCTTTGGCATCCAAGACTTGACAGCTCAGCGTTTAACGACCCTTTCGGGACCCTTTGCGCACCAACCGCGTCTCTCATCTCGCTCGGCATTGGGCCCTTTCGGCATGGAGAACTTGCCTGCAGCATCCTGGCATCATGATCACGTCATGCAATTATGTGTACAAGTATTCTGCCAAGTTTGCCAAACTCAAGTTCGCGCAACGCTTGCAGACGAACGATGCTGCAATGCTTGTGCGATGGTCCTGCAGCCAGCGCTTGGAGAAACATCGTCGACGGTCCCAGGATTGGAGAATCTGCGAAAAGATTGCAACACATCCCTGCGAAGCATATGCCATCCATTCCTCTCAGATATAGTATGGCAAGGCCAAAACACAACAAAATGCAGCTTTTCGAACTGTGTCTCAAACATTCTAAGACGACCCCAAGAGCATGCTCAATGCCTCCACACCAAAAGGGTCCATCGGGCTAAATGGTTCTGCACTTCACTGGGAGCATGTGATAAATGTGATGTGCACGATGTGCGCGGGACCGAGACGGGAGACCGCGATTTCAAATGCAGGGAGTGCGCACTCCGGCCCTCTGGCGAAGAGAGCCAAATGCCATGCCCGACCGCAGGGATGTGCGTGCGGAGCACGATTCCAGGTCCATTCCAGGTCCAAAAGCGATAACAGTGCTGCAGATTGCTGCAGCTCGCGACCAGTTCACGGAACCGAGGCATGCGTTTTCTGACAGCGCAAAAGGCACGCTGCGAACCCAAGAGCCTGGAAAGCGCACGTCCCTGCCACTGCCGCGTTTTCGCGGCGCAGCTTCGCGACGCAGAGCGGCCCAAGCTCCTCAAAAAAAGTGCCGGGTTTTGTCACGTCGAGCAACCCCCAATCCCGATCACACCCGCGCCGAGAGCCGAGGAACCTCAAGGGTGAGATCGTGACGTGGATTCAAAACGAGCCGCGGAACTTCCGCAAGCTGTCGCCGCGCGCTGGGGTGCTGCCTGATCCTCATGTCTCTGAACATTGGAACCCCATAGTGTTGCCGCACTGGGAAAAAACATAGCCTGAGCAGCTGCATATCCCCTTGGCTGTGATGCAGAATGGTCCAACACGAACCGCCTCTCCCAAGAAAGCACACGCTCCACGATCTCGATCATCAATATTCTGCCATGTCAGATCGGCATGACAGGAGTCAGGCTGCTCCACATGACGCTTCCAGGATGACACAAACTCAAGGCGGCGCACGTCAAAGATGATGCCGAACAATGTCCTGATTGAGGCACCGTAGCATACGCACCAAGGGAACGTTGAAAAAAACACACTTGCCTGGGCAGCTGCCCCACTAGTCCCATGGAGTCCACCCCTGCCTCTCCAGATGCGCTGATCAGGCAGAACATAGCAGAACGAAATTACCCTTGAATGCGCTTGATACTTAAAGCATTGCTTTGCATTGCTTTGCATTGCATTGCTTTGCATTGCTTTGCAGTCCACCCATTTGTGGGCCTCAGGTCCAAGACCTTGCGAAGCGATAGCGTCCACCAAACACCTCAGCTTCCCAGAGCACACGGCAAAGCGCACTGGGAGCATCAGCGAAGCACTCCTACCAAACACTCCGTGAGCGTCTCACGCAAGGGCAAGTCGAGCTCTGCGAAGGATTGCGCTTCTCAAAGCTGGTGATGTCGCATCCTTCCGTTGTTCTCACGTACCGGTACGACATCCTACGACTGATGTTGCCAAGCTGTGAGACACAAGATATCACAAGTTGAGATCAAAGAGCTCGAACCCTTCTCTCCTCCGGAAGGTTCTCGGATGAGAGCTCCTCAGACGTCATATGTCGCAATCTGTACCAAATTGCATCAGGAGCACGTGCTCTTCCAACATTGCAGCAACTCCTGAAGTCTCCGGAGCACGTCACCTTGTCTTAGCGGCCCAGACCGAACAGCACCACGAGCCGCTCGGGCCACATGTCCTTGAATGGACCTTGGAGACAGCTTTACACAGAAAATTGCAGAAAACACTTGAAAAATCGACACAACATGACACTTGCGTGACGCGTGCACATCAGACACGTAGGAGAGGAGCGATATCTCAGCTTCTTACCGTGGCTCAAAGGCTGGATCCCGAGTGCCCTTGACGATGACATCCAAGGAGCCTGCAAATTCCTGCATGGCAAGGGGAACACCCTACTTTTCCATTCTCACTCTTCTCGCTAACCTTTTGCGGGATCACTATTATCCAAAGTGCAGTCTTTTCCGGCTGCTCTCGCTGACTTCCGCGAAGTCTTCAAGCAAGACCGGTGCAGTTGTTTTGGGGGGGGGGGGGGGGGGGGGGGGGGGGGGGTTGGGGGGTTTTTGGGGGGGTTGGGGGGGGGGGGTTGGGGGGTGGGGGGGTGGGGGGGGTGGGGGGTGGGGGGGTGGGGGCTGTGGGGGGGTGGGGGTGGGGGGGGGGGTGGGGGGGGGTTGGGGGGGGGGGTGGGGGGGGTGGGGGGGGGGGGGGGGGGGGGGGGTGGGGGGTGGGGGGGGTGGGGGGGGTGGGGGGGGTGGGGGGCGTGGGGGGGTTGTGGGGGACCGCCGCATTTTCAACTGAAAACCATTCTTCCCTCTACATGTCTAATCAAAAACACGGACGCAGCAGCCCCTCATTCCTAACTTGCCAACATAGCTAATGCTCATGATTACTCACATGACGTGGAAGTTTCTTACCCCTCTAGAATCAAGGCATGAAAGAACAATTGCAGGCAGGCATACGTTTCTGTTTGGCAAAAGGTCAGGGTTGGCACAGGCAGTTGAGGAGAACCCCTGCTTTAGCGGCCAGAAACATGCCCGGCCAAAGGGGCCTGCCAGCGGCACCCACCACAAGCGCGAAACCTTTCCTGCATAGCCCAATAGGCCTTAAGCTATTGATTGGCTTGCGCATGCTTGCGCAGCCAAAACCTGGCAGCAGGACCCGCCAACCGTGAAACCTTTTGAGCTTCGAAGAACGAGATGGCCTGCCAACAGCGAAACTTTCGTTACAAAGCATTCCAGAACCTGTAGAAACCCCGCAAGCCCTTAAGGGCTTGGTTGTGTTTCCTCATGTTTTCTGTTTTTCCTTATTTTTGTCCGCTTTCTTGTCGGGGACCTCTTGGCTTCCCCCCTTTCTGGGAGAAAGCTACATTCCCTCAAAATTTTCATAGGATTCATACTACTTTTCGAAGGATTTCCTATTATCTAAGGATGGATTGCAACAAGATTCATAGGTTTTTAAGCACGCTTTGCACGGCTTAAATAAAGCGGGGGGGGGGGGGGGTTTGGGGGGGGGGGGCAACCCCCCCCCCCCCATTTGATTAATGTTTTTTTTGGTTCGTTTTCTTGGTTTTCGATGGGTTTCAGCCAGTTTCCTAGGCTTTGAAGCACGGGCGGGGCTTGGGCAGCCCCCCCCATTTGCAACCACAATGCTCACATGATGGGTTTCAAGCCTTTGAAGCACGCTTTGCAAAGGCTTAAAAGAAGCGGAGTGGGGGGGGGGAGGTGGGTTGGGGAGCGCAGCCCCCCCCCCCCCCGTTTGCAACCACAATGCTCACATGACGGGCTTCAACAAGATTTTTAGGAATTGAAGCACACCTAGCACGGCTTCAAAAAAACGGGGGGTTCGGGTTGGCCCGTTTTGCAAACAAAATGCTCACCCTTCAACACGTTTCTTAGGCTTTGAAGCACGCTTTGCAAGGCTTATAAAGAAAAAAAAGCGGGGGGTCGGGGGGTTGGGGCAGGGCGCAGCCCCCCGCCCCCATGCTGACACGACGGGTTTCAGCAAGATTCATAGGCTTTGAAGCACGCTTTGCACGGCTTTAAAAAAAAAGTTGGGGAAAGATTCATAGGCTTTGAAGCACGCCTTGCGCGGCTTAAAAGAAAAGCGTGGGGGTTGGGGGGGGGGGGGGGGGGGGTGCAAACAATGCTCACATGATGGAATTTCACCTACGTAGTTTCTTCGGCTTTGAAGCACGCTTTGCACGGCTTAAAAGAAGTGCGGGGGGGGGGGGGGGGGGGGGGGCCTTTTGCAACACAATGCTCACACCCTTCCTTCCTTCCTTCCTTCCTTCCTTGCTTGCTTTCTGGCTTGCTCGCTTGCTTGCTTGCTTGCTCGCTTGCTTGCTAGCTTGCCTGTTTCCGTGCTTGCCTGCTTGCTTGCTCGCTTGCTCGCTTGCTTGCTTGCATGCTTCCGTGCGTGCTTGCTTTCTTGCCTGCCTGCTCGCTTGCTTGCTTGCTTGCCTGCTTCCGTGCTTGCTTGCTTTCTGGCTTGCTCGCTCGCGCGCTTGCTCGCTTGCTTCCAAGCTTCCGTGCTTGCTTGCTTGCTCGCTTTCCGTGCTGGCTTGCTTGCTTGCTAGCTTGCCTGCGTGCTTGCTTGCTTGCGTGCGTGCTTGCTTGCCTACAGGCCACGGGGCCGGCAAAAACATAAGAAAAAGAAGAAAATAGAATAAGCAAAAAACACCGCCACCGCAAGCGGGGGCCCGGCAAGGGTGAAACCTTTAACGGGTAGGGCGGCCAGTGTGATTAGGCTTGCGCAGCCAAAGCCTGGCGACGGGGACTGCCAGGTGTGAAAGGCATATTCTGGGAAGCCTTTGAGCTTCGAGTAAGGAAATCACCCTTCCCCGCCGGCATGCTTATTCAGACAACATTCCGGACAGCGGCCCGTGCGTGTGAAGTTTATTTGCTCTGATCATCCGGTGTGCACTCCAAGAGGAACTCGCAGGACTTTCGCGGGCTTCTCGGGGGGAGTCTCTATGCAGGCCTTTTTTTGGGGCAGGCTATTCCAAAAATTCTCGGCGGGACTCTCTGCGGGCTTCTCTCGGGGTGGCACTTTGAGGATACCCGACGAGACTCTTTGCTGCGGGCTTCTCCGGGGGGTGCGCCAAGCATACTCAGTCGGCAGGATATTCGACGGGACTCTCTGCAATTCCGTCCGCGGCCGATACGGGAGATTCGCGAATAATCACACAGTTTTTGGTGCGGTTGCAAACAGATGCAGGTTGGTGGAAGCTTCTGCTCCTCCCATCCTGCCCATTCCACCAATCCTTGGAAAAAGCAGTGCCCGATGGACTCTGGACATCGTTCGCCAGACGGGGGTCGTTGCCAAGGGCCACTCTGAGGATGACACCAACCGCACGAGCATCCTCTGTCATCATGAAGGTGCCCGGAGGAGTCTGTGGCAGCAAAGATCACAGGAAACACATCACAAGATATGGAAGGCTTCTTGAGTGCAGCGCCTCGTTGACTACGTTCCATGCTTTCATGGCAACTTCAAAATCCTCTCCAGTGATGCCGACAGCTCGGCCCAGCATGGGCAGGGGCAAATACCTACCAGCGAGCATCTTACGAGGTCTTGCCGGGCGTAGACATGTCAAAGGGGGAATGCAAGGCCTCCGTCCTTCCTCGCCTTCTATGATCCTTATGAGAAACCATGTGCAGCATACGCAGCTTGTGATGCCTTTGTTCAATCACGGCATGTTGGGAAACTGGCCCCAGCCCCGCAGCTCCATCGCTGCCCTTTGGAGCGAGCTCGAAGAACCTGCACTTGCCAGGCGTTGCCAAGCAATTCGAGGGCCCGCACTAGGGTCTGCACTGTCCTTGGTGACTGCATCTTTATCTACGACCCAGCCTCAAAAGGGCATTTCGAAGTTGCTCGGTAGTGGTTGCCGGAGCTGTCGTTTCCTTCGATTTTGTCTGGGGTCCTGCACCACAATGCGTGACCGACTGACCCATTTGATGCCTCGTCAAAGCTGCAACAAGTACCGACCATTCGATTGGACTGCTGGACAAGTGCAGAACGCCTGGAGGAGGGGCTGGATCCGGAGCAGGTTCTAGTGGAGCAGGCGGGGACGGCTTCTCGGGC